AGTGTGACCCAGGAGCAGTTTCCCCAAAAAAAAATCGTCCGCCCCTATTTTGAAATGGGAAAAAACGCCACCCCTCGAAAGGGAAACTGTGGACGGCGCCTTATGCTTCTTTTCGAACGACCTGGACAAGCTAACCTGCCCTGTGACTGGTCTTAGGGACAACTGCGACCGGACCCTTTTTCTGCTTTCGGAAACCCCAAACGGACCCATCCTAGCAACGCCGTACTGCACGACATTACCCAAAATGGAAAGGACTCGAAACGACGAAATGCAAACCACACAAGGCGCAGCCTCCTGGCTGCGAATTGTCAAAATCGCGAAAGCAAAATTGCAGATTTTGCAATTTCGCTCACTCTGTGTGAGTATGATGACACCTGATTTGGGGCCTGGCTCCACTACTCTAGACTCTAGACTTTTCGTGAGTGACGCCTCGCTCCACTTACTCAAGACATCAACTCAGGATAACACCCTTAGAGAGCTKTCAGAAAGCACTCTCAAGGGCACTCAAGATGCATCTAGAGTGGGCTGCCTGCAACACTTTGGATTTCTTGCGTCCTCCTTCCTACCCCCTRTGCTGCTTTTCTTTTTCACGAGTGTGCCTGGTGTCCCTTTTGTCAGAATGGGCTGGCACTGTCTCGTGGCACAGTAGAAACGAAAGAAAAACGCTCACGGAATTTGGGAGTGCTTCGAGAGTGTGGCCATATAAAGTAAGTGGAGTGAGGCTTCTTCTTTTGAGAGGTCTGACATCTCTAGAAGCACTCACGACGYTTTTTGCGATTCTWRAGTAGTGGAGCGAGGCCCTTGCTATACTCTAGACTATCACCACTCTAGAGTCTAGATCAACTCTAGAGACTTTTTTTGGAGTCTAAGAGTAGTGGAGCTAGACCCAATTTGTCTCCCAACTCCTTTGTCCGTCTGTTGCCGCCAACCTGCTTTTCCACCCGCCGCCCAGTGGCGTCCAATCCTAAGCCTTTGAGTGACAGCTCTCACTTTCAAAAAATCTGCGAGAGCGGTCTGTAGAGAGCAGACAACAAGGAGAGCGGACACGTGGCTCAACCTATTCTCCATGTGTAAGCACCCAAAGAAAAAGACTCTCAGGGGGACCAAAACTCTCAAAAATTTGAGGCATTCGGTTCGTGTTTTTTTAGGCATTTGGTCCCCGTGTGAGTGGACTTCGTCCAGAAAGGACGAAGTCGCGACCCTGACACTTTGCACTCAGGGCAAGTGCGCTCTCTCAGTCACACGGGAGAGGACCAAACAAAAAGATGGAATTTGTTATCTTTTACTTTTCACACCAGTATAATGTGTGGGCCTTCGCTACAATGTAATTTCTGGTCGCACTTCCAGTTGTTTGCCAGGCTGTCTTCTTTGTCTACGATTTTCTTCAATTCCCGAACTTAAAAAAAAGAAGGCGAAAGGTAATTTGAGACCACCTCTGGAGGTGGTCTCAAAAAGGGTCCTCCCGCCGCCCCCCAGAGAGCTGACAAAAGGGTCACCGTTTGAGGCATTTGTGTAGGGGGGCTCTCCAGTGTGACCCCGAAAACTGACTCAAATTTTGGGATTTGAGGTCTTTTGGTCCTCGTGTGAGTATGCCCTCAGGACATGCTCACACTGGGACTTCTTTAGTAATTTCCGGACTGAAGTGTGGCCAAATGCATCCAGGTGGGGCAGTAATGGGGTCAAATACATTTAAGAGATTGCTAATTGTGAGTAGCCCCTCAGGGCATGAGTATGCCCTCACTGACAAGGTCTTGTTGCAGTGGAGCCAGAGCTGTTGCAAAACATGCCTCTCTCTCTCTCTCTCTCTCTCTCTCTCTCTCTCTCTCTCTCTCTCTTCGCCGGCCACTACCCCTTCTAGTCACTCAGCCGCCCTCTCTCTCTCTCTCTCTCTTTCTCTCTCTCTCTCTCTCTCTCCC